GAAATTTTCTACACTTTTAAGATGTTCATAAAATACAATATAAATACAATATGCATTGGTGGGAAATACTACATATTTAGAAGCATATGTATACTAAAAAATAACCTATTCAATTTTTTAAATATGTGCTTCATACATTTTTAGTTACTCTCAGTTTTTTATTTAATTATAGTGTATAACACATTATACATAGTAGAGAAAGAAACAAAAAGCATTTAACTTGATGTCTTTTATTTCTACTTTACCCTTTATCAGATTCGAGACTGTGTTTATTACGTTGTGTTAACACGTGTGATGTTATATTGTCAATGACAATTAATTATTATCTTTTGTATTTAATAATAATAAAATTAATAATAAAATGTACAATATGACATAAACATTTATAAATTAACTTAACTATATTTAAAAGTATTAAATTAGATCTATTATAATGGGGAATTGTATACGGAGATTACTAAAAAGGTTACAGAAGAAAAAATGCTCTGAAAAGTAATGTACATTTTAGAAAGTATCAACAAAGATCAATGAATGTAATAAATTTTCATAATGATTTTCTTTTAGAATTATTATTTTATTAATTGTCGGCCTTGATAATGCGGGAAAAACATCCGTTTTGAATCGTATAACTGGTGGTATGATCCTTAATATTAAAGATAAGTTCTTTTTTTTAAAATATAAATATTCTGTCAGTTTTGAGAGATTAAACGTATTTAAACGATTTTACTGAATATTTATGTCTTCAATTTAATTTATTATTTGTTTTAATTTTCCGGGGCTATTTAATTACGTTGGTAAAAAATCTTTTTAAAAAGGACACAAATAAATCATAACAAATGTTTACTAAAGGTAATGCTCTTTTAGGGGAAATACTATTTTTACATGCATAATATATAAGAATATTGAAAACAGTCATTGTATTTTACTACTTAAAACTGACAGAATATTTACATTCGTCTAATAATCATAGCTATTGTAATATTATATTCAAATATATTAAAATCCTTGACATTTCTGCAAATAACATACATTGTTTTAGAATCAGATGAAAATGTATTACCTACAATAGGATTTCGAACTGTGTCTTTAAGGTATAAATCTTATATAGTTAAAATTTATGATATTGGTGGTAGTTCCCAAATTCGATCGTTATGGACAAAATATTACAGTGGCGTAAGTAATTGATAAAGAATTCTTAACTATTCCCATAAGTAGAATTACATTTTAAAGGAATATAATAACACAGTTTTTGTGTATCTCTTTGCTAACAAAACAGAATTTTAAATATTCTTGTCTCTTCATTGCATCTTTTAGATACATGGTCTTATATATGTGGTGGATGCTAGTGATATTTCCCGTCTTACAGAAAATAAAGTTGTATTTGGTGAATTAGTTTCACATGAATGTATTTCAGGAAAACCATTATTATTGTAAGAAAGTTAAATGTATCTTTACGCTTACATATTTTCTTTCAGTCACAGAACACCTTTCGTAGGCTCAATACGCACCAATTAAATTTGCACAAATAATTCATTTATGTGTGATGTTCACACTATATTTAAATAACATATATTAACATTTACATATATTATTTTAACGTTATTATAATATATTTCGATAATAGGCTTGCAAACAAGCAAGATATAAATGGATCAATTGATGAGTTAGATCTTGTTGAAAACTTGGATGTAGAACATGTAGCAAATACTATGAAATGTCCCACAAGAGTGGAAATATGTTCATCCTTAGAGGGAGAAACTCAGTTGAAAGATAACACTATAGGAATTAAAAATGGATATAAGTATGTGATCACTCTTTATATAAGTTTTTTAAACTTACTCAAAGTTTTTTTTTTAATTGGCAATGAATTTATGCAGATGGCTATTGGATATAATTGTAAAGAATTACACTGTATTAAACAATAGACTTAAGGATGCACAAAATATTCAAACTGTAAAAATTACCGAAGTACAAGATACAGTGTCTGATACATCATCAGGAATATCATCACATTCTAATCCATTTAAACCAATTCAAGAACTAATCGCTAAAAAGGTAAAATTTATATTCTTTTATTTTTATATTTAACGAAAAAACATTTTCCTATATTTGCTGTAATTTCAGCAGGAATTTCAACCGGCAAGTCGTTTACATAATGGTATGTAATTGTCGATATGTGACTAATAAATAGAACTTTATTTATAAATTCTTTAAAATATTTATAGGGGTAGTTGGTGGAAACAAATTGAAACAAATGTTTATGCATAGAAATAAGACTGCTCCATTTACTACTGAGGAAACAGTCTCTGAACTTGGAGATATATCGGATAACACTAAGCCTATTAAAAAAATGTTGAATACTCATAAGAGTGTTCAAACTCTTTCACCATTAAATCCAGTGATACAAAACGCATTTTCAAATACAATTATATCAAAATCAAAGCGTCCACATACAGCGCCAGAACATTCACAATATGTTATCAATAGAGTAACAGTAATTAATATTCCTGGACAAGTTACACAGGAATAATACTAATTACACTTCGATAATGATAATAATAATAACAACAACAACAACAACAACAACAACAACAACAACAACAACAGGGACCATTATGAACAAATTTGATGATAAAAAGATATATGAAAATTGTGTAACACAGATATTTTTAAAACATTTTTATTTCTTGACTAGAAATCGACTGATGATCATTTATTTTAAGTGATTTCTATTTTTAAATATAGAATAAAACAATTACGAGTAATGTTAATTTTACATTGTGACTGTTTCTTTGTGCATGATGAAATAACAGAAAAATAAACATTTATAGAAAAATATTTTGTAAGTATGTATATGTATATAAATTCATACAAAACTTGTCTTTTTTTTATATCTTAACTTTATTGTATAAGCTTGTATACAAGTTCATGTACACAAAAATTTCACAAATATATGACTTACACAATATGGACTTAAAATGTCTATAGTATAAAGATATTAAAAAATTTTAGATTATATTATAGTATTGCATGAAATTTCATACAAAATGCTGTAATGCCTGAAGCATGTATTATCAGCACATACTTTTATCACAATTTACAATAAATATTGTAAATATTTCGCAACATCGTTTTATATCGTTGAGCAATTACTTTATAACATTAAGTAATAGACTCTAATACATTGAAAGATTATACTGAAAATTGCTACAATAAGGAACAATGTATTTCACATAATATGAGGACAACAATCATTTTCGAATCAAGTACTTTCTATAAATCACACTACGTACTTAAATGCAGCAATAAAGATATAGGAGTTAAACAATCAAAAGTAACATTAAAATTATATAATTGAATTAGTAAGTATTTAAGAATTGCATACTTTTCTTATGAAAGACTGTTATATCACCATATCGAAACTTTTCATAGATTTATACTAATGCCATTTCTTTATAAATATAGTAATTTTGGTCATGGTAACATCGCACTTTTTTCTTCACATACTAATCTATTTCATTTACGATTATATTTCAAACTACGAAGCCACATAACATTTTATATTCCAGCTGACAATTCCAAAAGTATGTGCATATTGCATTTTCTAATGATCTAATTACATAGAGCATAAGTTATTTTTTCTCTTTTTTAACGACAGATAAAACTTGAATATTCGTTGTAATTGCACCTTATATAATCACAACTACTTTAATCAGGCAAGTAATATTACGTTTAATACTAAATTGAAAATATTTCATTTTTTTTAAATGTAAGATAGGCTATTGCTTGTTATGTAAAGACACAAGTTTTGTCATCTCGACATTTTGTACAAAGCAATAAGCAGATTATATGTATTAATTTCTTAAACTGCTTTCATGATGGCTAAAAAATACATTTTTGTAAACATACGTTACAACGGCGTAGGTAGTATACAAATTACCTATCAAATTTTGCTTGAAAGCAGCAATCACAAAGGCAATCAATTCTTATTATATATCACTTCTTCGCTGCAATAATGACACAACTCGAAATTTAATGTTTTTTGTGTTATTGATATAGAAAAAAACATTTCTTATAAATTCACAACACTGAATGATAATGATATAGTACTTTTGTTACAGTTTAATATCATGCCAATTTGCATGTGAGTACACATTCTTACAAAATTATGATTCAAAACGTACAAACCCGTTTTTTCAGAATGTTATAAGTATGGTGGTGTCACTTTTGAAGCAAACGAGCAATAGTATAACACTGCCAACTTACTTTTATTTTGCATTTGTACTTACTTCATACTTCACTTATTCTAATATGCTGAGTATATTCTGATAAACTTTTATATGACCGTTATTACATTCATTCCAACTTCATATAATGGCTTAAAAATGACTGAAGTTTACAAATAGAGATTATATTCATACAAATATCTAAGTATAAATCCTGTGAAAGATATAAGCTTTATAAAATTTGTTCTTAAATTGTATGAATACAAAACTTTATGTATACTATAAAATGTATTATATAGTATTGCTATAATGCTTTGTCCTCTAGGGCAAGTTTTGCAGAATATAATGGCAGTTTGTGTATGTAATAAATGCTATCTTTTAAATGCTATGCACTTTAATCACACTATAAAACGAGAGTAGCATAGACAAAATATCACCATTTAACTCTCAACAATAGTGCGATCGTTGCAATAAAGGTACATACAATCTCATGTATAAAACGACTACACCAATCCATTTTTCGGGAATGTAAATTTTACCAAGCGAGTTAGCATTGATGTAATACATGGTATTTGTTTCTGTTGGTGCATTGTTATGTTGTCAGGAGTATTAGACTCGAAATCAATAGAAACTCTCTGGCATACAAATGTGAGCAAAGTCAGTATATCGTATCGAGTACCGTTTTCACGTAATTCTGAGCACAGTGCTTGCATAAACCAAGAACCACGAGTAGTATTTCTCCAAGAATAAAATCCTGTAGTTTGAATATAATTTTGGTAATTCTTAAAAATTTAGTTACAACATTTATTTATAACTTTTAAAAAATATATACCTGGTATGGTAGAATAAGCAATTAAAAAGTCTGCATGAGATGGTATACGAAATGAAGAAGCTGGTTGACCATCAGTTTCAGTACGATCTTTCAGTGTTACACCACCATCCAATTTATCTCCTTGACAAGCTTGTATAAAAAATAATTTTGGTTTCCCTATTAATGTTGGACACTTATCAGCTGTAAAATGACCCCAAATAGAATCAGGCTTGTACGAAGTGTCGTGAGCATATAATAATCCTAATTCTCCATGGCTTAATATAGCTACAATTAGACAGTCATGTTGAGAATGGTCCATACTGGCAACTGTAAAATCGAAATCGTGGTTTTTTAAAAATGTGTTCAATGCATCTTCCCTTGAACATTAAAATCTCAAACTCAAAAAGGAAGTTTAAAATTATAAAAGGGTAAAACATCGACTAAGTACCTCTTTCTAAATTTCTCACTATATCTCTATATGTTGAATTATGAAAATCATTTACTTCGAAACCAAGATTTTTTAATGTATTAACAAGATTTTCACAATCCACATTTGTTCCAGATCTAGGTTTGAGATGTGCAATAGTGAAAAATTCATGATTAAAAATAATAGCTAATCCACGTTTTGAGTGATTCATGTTGTAATGTGTGGCATAACGTTCTGTGGGTGCCGTTTGTAAAGGGCCAATGAGGGGACTGACGCTGTTTCTGTAAAAGAAAGAGCATGCCTAATATCTGGGTATATTTAACTAAATATTAAAACATAAGATGGGAATAACATAATTTTAAGAATTTATAGATTATCTATTTTTCTAATGAATAATGAATGCTTTAGATAATGTTCGTTTGTATTTCAACATTATTAACATATCTTTATTATTGTTTAAGAAATGATAATAATTTATCTATTTATATTGACGTTCCTTGCTCTATTGTCACATAATATATGACATGTGAGTAATCAAAGGCATTCTCAAACAATAAACAAAATAGATAATCTTAATTAAGGTTAAAATAGTTTCATGCAATCACGTTATGTTTATTGGTTCATTCACATGTTACACAGAAAATAACGCAGAAATATCGAAAACATCAACATTCTTTCAATATAATAATTATTGACTATATACTTTCAAGCATATTTCGAACATACCTGGAACATCCGAAAGCATCTCCCACATCATTACTAATTATATTACTATCGTTAGAATCAGCCTCTGTTGAACACATGGTCCTGCTTTTGACAAGATTTTCAAAACAAGAAAGAAAAATATTAGTGTAAAAATGCACTCAAATCACAATTTCCTGACGCAGAAAGTACGAATAGTGACGCACTTCAAATGCACGTCGTAACGCACATACACCAATGGTCAAAATAGTTCTCTACTCTACTTCACAATCCAGGAATTACCAGTTGAAATGAAAACCCTTTCTCTTACATCGCGATATTCAATACATACTGTAAATATAGTATATTTTCACCAATATTGTAGTATTTATAAAATTTTTTAGATACCACATTATTTATTAACAATTATTGATTAAAAGGAATTTTAATCATGTTTTATTTCTTTATATGGATGTAACGATAAATCTAAATAAAAAGTCGTTAGATCAGTACAATTATATTATTTAGTGTTTAATTTAAAAAATCAAATATTAATTATTAACTAAAATTATATATGGTTTTACTAATATTAATTATTAATTAAAGTCCTTAGTATTAACCTTACTAAACAATAATTATAGTTTACCATATTCTCGATTAATATTTAATTTTATTAATAGAGTAAATAGATGTATAACATTTTCAGTAAGCAAGTTCAAAGGATTTATAAGAAACCTAATCAAATTCCCTGATAATTGATTTTTATAAACAAGCAATAATCGTTAAGTAGGTGAAAAAAACGACAAAGGCAAAGCTGATAGATTTCTTTCTTTTACCAGTAAATCTGGGGATCTATATACATAACATTTAACCTGTCAACCGCTGTATATTTTAGTAAGGCATTAATAGTAAATAGCTTATGCTGTGATATCGTATGATGGTTGATTGAGACTTAGTTGAAATATATCATACTTATTGTCAACAATTCAAATGCATTGTTGAAAACAAAGAAACATTTAATCAGTTATTTGGTTGGTTGCTATGCGACACAGACTTAAGATTTAAGTTGTGTATGCGCACAAGCTTGAAATACTTACGTAGTACGCATCGTGAAACGGTGGTTTTGTTCTATATTACAACGGTAACATAGGGAATGACATTATAGTGGTAAAACATTTTCTCACAAAATTTTGTTTTATCTTTAAAATTTGCCAAAAGTCCTTCTCGCAAACATTGTTCTTGCTTAAAAGGAAGCTATCTGCAAAATTTCAGTCCCATTGGATCTGTCGGGTTTTCGGAAGTACAGCCAAAAATTGTATTTCTGTAGTTAGTATTATCATACACGAGGTATATTCTAGTAAATTTTGCTTTCCAACATGATTTATTAATTATTATTTGTGAAATATCCAATTGAAGTTCCTACAGTATTGGCAGTACAGGTACTAACATTTCGTGTGCAGTGATTTTATAACGAAAAATTTATGAACGTTGGTGTTGTAGGAAAAATGAATATAGATTGGTAATTTGTAGATATCATATATTATTTATACCTACCTTTAAAATTTTAACTGCAATTTCGACGAAAATTCTTAATACTTTTGATAATAAAATTTTGAAAATATTTAACTATATTTTGCAGCAGATAGTAGTAATCTATTGCTAATAAATTTTTAAATTATATTAAATTATGAATTATAAATGTTGTGTAATTTATGGACATATAACAAGCAAAATAGATTTTACTGTCAAAACAAATTGAATATCTTATTATACTATAAAAATCTATTATTAATAATGCCATAAAAAATAATCTACCTATTTATTTGGTACATGACTAATTTTTGTAATATTCGTGCCATTATGCAAATTCTGATGATTTCCATATTACGTACCATTATAATTTTATGTATATAGTATTGCAACAGTTCATATTTTTAAAAATATATTTCTTTTAAATGGTCAGATCATAGGAAAAATGATCTAAGAATGGTACAAGCTTTCAATATTTTATGACTTTTTTATTGAATGTTTCTAACTGATATTGAGAAACAATGTAGTGTCTGTCATACATATTATAAACTGGTCTTTATGTATTAAAATTTTTTTATGTGAATGTAACCAATGATATTTGTGTTCATTTTTTTGTAACACACACTTTTTGTATTAATTTACACAAGTCTGTACCAGTCACTTATGGCGATTGTGATAAATGCAAAGACAATCAGTTTTTGTATTGACTGATGAAACATTATTACTTATCTATGAGATTTTGATATGAACTATGAAAATTTGATAGATAGTAATTTTAAGTAAATTTATAAAAGCATTTATTAGTATAAAAACGTTGTTGCAGGGGCAAAGAAATTTGATCATTTAATTTATTGCATTCAATGTTGAATTTGAAACTTTTCTTTTTGCTAGATGTCTGTATTAATATATTAAATTAATTCATCATACATTAGACCTTTCTTATCTATCTGTCTACTGTAATTTTTATCATATAGTACAATTGGCTATAGTAATCATATACTCAAGGAAATATTTCAAATTCAAAATTCAATTTAAGAAAATGTATTTCAGTTGTTTTTTATGCACAGATTGCAATTTTATTTATTTATTTTGGATATTCAATATTTTCAATTTTGATTCCCATTGATAACATTGAAGGTAGAAATAGTGATTTAATACTTATGAATCTATTAAAGTAATCTTTGCATACTCAAAATACATGAAAAATGTAATTGATATTTAAAATTTTCACAATTTTATCAATTTTTAAAAATTCTTTATATAATCAAAGCTTGGTCCATATCCATTTTGATAATTAATTCTACGATATCTAAAATTTATACAATATTTCCAACCAATTAACGGTACCTAAACTACATCAAATTTTTTATGAACTCTGTTAAACAATATCTGATATAGCAATAACAACAAAGTGAAAATATTGATTATCCGCAAATACCTGTTATTTCTTTAAATAGTCTGTGTTTTACTTAGTTTGTCAGACATGGTAAGTTTGCCATAAGAAGGTACAGCCTGTGTTATGTTACATGAAAATATTTTATTTTCTTAGTGCAGTTCTTCAGGCCTTGGATAAGACAACATACATGACCTTTGATCGTTTAAGTGTTCTCAGTAGCGCACTGTGGGATCGAATGATAGGCCTCTTAACAAGAGATAAATAGGTATGTAATCATAAGGTTGTAGAGATTTATAATAATCTGAAATTCCATGAAATTAAAATTCATATTAAAAAAAGAAACCCCATTTAATATAAATGCGTAATGTAATAATATTTACTATTTAATAACACTATTTTTCTCCTCTTCATGATGTTTCATTTCATTCTTAATATCTTTGCAATATAAAATTATCTATATTTAATACAATGAATGTAATTCATTTGTGCAGTTATTTATATAATTTAATTATAAAGTTGTAAATGATAACAATAGATTTGGTACTCAGAGTTCTTATTCATTCAAATTTTATTTTATAATTTGTGTATTGATATTCCTGGAAAAATAGTAGGTTTACTCTATAGCATCAGATATTTATAAACCTCTACAACTCATAAACCAAGACCATGTACTGTGTATTTTAGGGTATTATTAGGTAGGTATAGGTAGACATTGCCTATTTACAAACGCAATGATGTTGCGTATGCCTACTTCTTGGCAATCCTAAGTAAAGCTTATGGTTTGAATAAACTTTTTTTTAGATAATTATGTCTTTAATAAGTAAGTAATAATTCTATCAGAAATAACAGTGCAATAATTGAACTGTTATGATCCTGCAGCCATTTACATGTTACATTTTCTAGTTTTAAAGTATTTTCATACAATGCTTGTATGTTTTGGTTCTGAGACATTATTAAGATAATCATTTTACTATTATAACTGGCCAATAAGTATCTGCCACTTTTCTTATATTATTATATCTATTTATCATATATACAGATAATATACAGTAGTCGCGCTTAGTATAATTAATATTATTATCCTATTTTTAATAATGTTATAGTAGTTATACGAATAGAAACTTGACCGCATCTAATCCTTCAATGTGCGCTAGTGTTGCACACTGGAATATAAATACATTTTTATATAAAATTTGTATAATCTACATGAATCACTTTAAGTATATCTTCTCTTTTAATCACAAAAGATACAAATGTAATAACTACTACGCAAGCGGGGGGCTATGGGCGGTATCACTCTGGCAGTATATCATATAAATAATTGAATTGAATTTTCACCAAATTAGAAATTAATTGTTTTTTTAAGTGTGCGGTGATCACAGAATTAATTTTTTTATGCTGATCCAATCATCTTTATTTTCGTACCATCTGTATGGAAATTATTTCTGTATACATTCATTACTTATAAAGTTTGATTCATTTATGAAATTTGATTTGTTGTATTGTATTATTAAATGGTTCTACAGTTTCATAGAATCATTAATTTAATTGATTTAGCTTTCAAGAAAGTTCTTTTACATTTTGGATAAAATAAAATAAATAATCTATTAATTTATTTGTTGTAGATAGAATTATAAAAGGAGTATCATTTCTATTTAAAAAATGAAAATAAATTGTGCACACAAATGTTTCTGGTGTATCTTCAGAGATTTTACATTTTGTTGCATGTTTAAAGTTATCAGTTAAGAACTTTATTTTTTACAATCTTTACTAGTTTTTAATTACACCCTACTGAAAATAAAAGTTGTTTCCTCACAGAATAAAATACATGTTTGCATTGATTCAAAAACTTAGAAGATACACCATTTGAGATATTACGTAGTATCCAGTGTGAAGCCCGATATGCCCTCGATTATTGTATTTTTTTCATCTGTTGTTACTAATTATCTAGAGGAAAGGAACACTATATGCGCTATATCCATCAATAAGCAGGGTGATTCACAACAGATGAACGCCTTATCTATTTTCGATTAAAACTTATTTACAAAAGTTACTGTACACTTGTAATTCTGTTGTGATGTAGGTCCATCATAGCCTTGAATGCGAGTAGACCGGTATTTGAGGTAAAGATCGTATTGCAGGGAAATTTTGTTCTCAAATTGAAGCCTTTGAAGTAGCACAGCACATTTTGTCAAGCAAATATTCCAAAATCATAAATCCATTAAGAACGTTTACGCTTCAGAAGGTACTCTAAGAATGATCGTTTTTCTTTCTTAAAATTATGTCAATATTGTGCAGATGTTGAGCTCCAAGGCCCATATTTTCATGTAAAACCCTTGTAAATGTGCTATACGATTTTTAAAAATTCAATGACAAAAAGTGTGTTGGGTTTATCTATTGAATTAACATGAATCGACATGAACATTTCAGTACGTTTTCTGAATATTGTCCGTGTAAAACTTATTTCCGAATAAAAAGGTGGACCAAATGGCAATGTATATAAAATATATGTTGTGTATAAGTTCGTCAATCGTATCGCACATTTATTGTATCAAACAAATACGTTTGTAATCTTAATCCGTATGTAAAACTTCATATGGAAAAGATTGCTCTACATTTGGTATTAAAAAATTCGTATTTACCTTCATTTGAACACAATTAATATAATTGTGGTACTCGGTGAATCAGTTCTGGAACATATGCCCGGCACAATGTTAGAACGCGTCGCTATTGGAAATGAAAATTCCCAATATCAAGGACTAAAAAACGTAAACCGTGCAATAACATCTTTACAAACAAGCACGCTACGGTGGTGCTTCGTTTTCCGCTATTTAATTAAAAGTCATTGTTTCACATTTTCTTCTTCCTTTAAATCTAATAATATGCCCTAACTTCGTCAATAGGAATATTATATAATTAGAGCTAAGATTGTTTGTACCATTGAATTAGGTGAAAGCACCCACAGTGTGACCCCAATATGCTTTGACATCCGCCACTACAAGTATTTTCGTCTGAATTCGAAATATATTTGTAGTAAGAATATGCAAACCTGCCTTCTTTATTTTTTTTTTGTTCCTGAATGTCAGGGTCTTGATTTGATTATTTCTCTAACAGATTCCTTGTTTCTATCTTTTATTCGAAGAGTGCCAATATGTCATCACTAGATGAGGGGTTTCCACTGCTAGCGCCGCTGCTGGGAGGGGTATTCAGATCTGGTGGATCTAAGTATGAAAGTAGTTCCATCGGATCTACAACATTGTCTGGCAAGAGCTGTAACATAAGATAGTATGGTTAGTATTATACAGAACCGACATTTAGTAAGAATTGAAACGTTCAATTCTCAGTTTATTGATTTGCAACAGAGAAGAAGAATACAAAGAAGTACTTACATTCAATGCTTCCTGACCTGTGCCCTCGCCATCTATCACTGCAGCTGGATCGAAATTTAAATCTGATGGTATATCTGCAGTATCATTATTAATGTTTGTACTCGTACTACCAGACGTGTTATGATTCCCCGTAGATTCCTGAGATGCAGGAGGAACACTAGGTGGCCCACTATTACCACCACCCGGTGTGTGAGGTGTGTGAGGAGTATGTGGTGTGTGTGGTGTGTGGGGCATCTGAAACGTGCAAAACGGGCATGTACTACTTCATAGAATATTTTATAGTGTTACAGAATAGTTTACAGGCGTAGTAACTTGAAATTTTTAATCTACCTGATCGTTCAGCGATTTTTCCATAGCGTTGAGAGGATCTAGAGAATTAACCGATTCGTTCAAGTGCGAAAGAGGCCCCGTTCCGTTAGAATAATCGTTACTGGCGTTCGTATTCGTTCCGGAATTAATATCGAAGGATCCACCCGACGAATTTCTATGGTTAATGTTGTTGTTTGTATAAGTGGATTGCGTATTGTTCATCATAGAGCCGCTCACGATGCTGCTCATGTCAGGCGGTATGTACGGACTCATTGCCTGGTTCATATCCCAATTATTCATAGTGGGCATGTTCATACTTCCAGGTGACATTGCCTTGGTCATTCTCTTGCAATCGCTTTCCTCTTCCGATTTAATACCGCTCATGTTTTTAGCTGGCTTCCAATTCGCCATGGAGTCTATCGTTACCTCTTCTACTTCTGCAGTATTTAAAGTGTTCAAAATGCCCCACATATATTGGTCGACCTCCAGACCTTCCAATTGCGCAGGTTTTCTGTAATAAGTGTACGTAACGTTAGTTTATTAATTAATAAATGGAGTTAGATTGAATATCATTGAACTGTAAATCAACTTACGTGCACACAGGACACCTCCAAGATCCTCTTTCACAATTTAATTGTAGGTACGACTCCAAATCGAAGCATTGTATGTGCTTGCAATCGTGTCCTCTTGCTGGCAGTGTAATACGTTTAAAAGTGATAGGACATTTTAAAGATACCTGTAATGTAAGAATGATATGAATAAGAATGAATCAATTGCAAACAAATGATTCAACATTTCAATAAAAAATAGCGTTTGTATACGAAATAGTTATTAATTATATATAAATTGTATACGAAATAGTTATGGAATCATATTTAATATTGAAAGAGATAAAAATGTGGTTGGTGATCAGGCAAGATTGTGATCATAAATTTTATGATACAAACACAGTACTATATTACGAAATGTGTCTCACCTTAAGTGCTGTTTGTTCCACCACGTCTTTCTCCGATTGTATTCCATTATTTGAAATAGTATTACTGAAATTCCGTTTGATTTTTGTTATACAATGTTCTGCTGTAAGTAGCCTTTTGCGTAGTAATCCATGGAGCACACTTCGCACGCTTGGCCGATGGACTAATTGAAGCACGAACAAATGCGACTGTAAGAAAGAAAAATGACCAATCAATTCCATTGTCCGGTTGTGCACCTTTTGCGAAAGCGTAATTTATTGCAAAAATCAAATCTTACACAACAACACGCCGAGACGGTGATTTGTATCGTGTTCCTTCCCGGTTGACACACGTCCTTCAGGTATAAGGGCTTATGAGACGTTTTATTCTCACCACGATCGATAACTAGCGGCGTAGCGTTCACGGAAACTTGTACGCTCGCCGGCCAATTCGTATTCATTTGCCTATCCTCATGATGGAAACACTTGAGCTGTAGTTCAAGATCCGATCGCCACATTAACGTTTGGTGCACCGTGGACTTCAGTTGGAATACGTGATTGCTTACAGCCAAATTGTGTTCTAAGCGGAAGGGTGGAAGAATGATGCCATCCCTCACTGGGAATGTTAATCTTAGTTCGTCGTCCTCTGCGATTTGACAATCAAAATATTCCATTAGCATATAGGATATCAATATCTCCCTACAAGTGTCTAAGACAGTGATGTCCACAGGTGACAGTATCTTTTCTGAAACGTTCTGATTGGATAGGTATCATATAGCGCGACAAGTAACGGCAAAGATGTTTATTCTCAACGCTAACAATATTCAGGTAAAGTATTCTTGTCATCTAGTTTTGTTTTTACAGAAATTACAAAATTTCTTCCGTTTACAATATTTTTTAACTACTGGAGAAACGAATACAGAGCAAGATACTCGAACACTGGATCTCAGTTTGGACATCACTGGTTTCAGCCGATCAATCAACTCGACAAACGAAAAGCGAACTCACTCTGAAGGTTAACTGGTGACTTCATCTCATTGAAGTTAGGTTTAATGTCTGGATTCGGACTAATGTAAGGGGGCATGCTGGTGGCAGGCGTGAGCGGCGGAGTCGGGTTTCCGGGGATAGGACTGTGTTGATAATTCAAACTCCCCGCGCCCGTCGTTCTCATCGCCGCCACGTCCTGTTGGTACTGACTGGTCACCGCGGCGCTCGCCCCGTACGAGGATGCACCACCAGCGTATCCCGTGTTCGGTTGATGACCGACGAATTGATTGCCAACAGTGGTAGGTCCCATGCTAACCGGTATACCGTTGCTACCGTAGTATTGGCTGGTCGCCGCCGCCTGAGCAGTGGTGTTGTAAGACGGCGCGGCTTGCCTCATGTTCGTGCTCCGTATCATCGTGTTGGGCCCGAAGCCGGCGGCCGTGGGATTCATGCTCTGCATCGGCTGATACTGGGGAAAGTTCGGCCTCGCTGCCGCTGGGTAATTGGTCGGATACTGCGACGTCGCCATACCGTTGAAGTTCGGCTGCATCGCAGCTGGATTCGGGCCAGCGTAAGGACCCTGTTGCCTCTTCTGCGTCATGTGCATCGCGGGGTTGGGGTAAGGCGCTAATCTCCTTGGATAGCCTTGGTGGGGTTGAGCCTGGAAATATGAAGATCACTTTGAATAACCTTGGATGCTTTTAGCAGGAGTTAATGATACGGAAGTTAAAGAAGAATCAGTTATTTAGATTGTTGCACTCTCGGCACGCTTCCAATAGTGAAAAGGCTTAAAAACATGTAGAAACTGGGAGTAGGATCAGCTTTTGCTACTTCAATTTATGACAGTTTAAAGCGATGAACGTACCTGCATGCTCATTTTGTTCATCTGCATGTTGTTAGGTCCCATCATATTGTTCATGCCCATGTTACCCATGTTACTCATGGAGTTCATGGGTGTCATCGCGTTCATACCAGTCATACCGTTCATACCTCCCATCGACATAGGATTCATCGAGTTCATGCCATTCATACTGTTCATCGAATTCATGGAATTCATAGAGTGCATTGGGCTCATCGTGCCCATGCTATTGAAATTGCTCATCCCGACTGGCCCCATTCCGGCCATTGGTCCTCTTTGGGCGTACCCTGCGTTGTACGTTTGGTGGGGGATTCCATGTTGGCTCTGCATCTACGATAGAATTAATATCAATTATTTTTAACATTCGTAGAACTTAGTACATTACTGAAACTAAACATTACTGAGATTAATTTCTATTCGAACACAGTGTTGTAAAAGCAGATCAGTGACGAGTATTGCAAGTATAAATAAATTGGCAACAAATAGATACAGAGATTAAGCAACATAACGAAACAATCGTAAAATCGTGTTTACTGCAACCATAGATAGAGTTCAAGATGATGTAAGAAACTTTACCTGATTGAATTGCGAGGGGATGTCTTGGCGGTCCTGCATGGCCACCACGCTGGCAGTGGCGGTGGCCGTAGCGGTGGCAGCTGCCACCATCGCCGCGGCACTAAATGTCGAACCACCACCCCCGTTCTGGGGTGGCACCGCGCTATGATAGCCGGCTGATAACACGGGCTGCACCCCAACGCCGAGCGCCGCCGTTGTTGATGTTGTTCTTGCTGCCAATTTCGGGAAAAACGACAACGACCAAGTGTCGTGCGGCTCAGGCAATTCACCGATTACCGGGGTGCTGAAACAGACAAATCAGAAGTCCCGTTTAAACCAGTTCAAACATATCGAGTACCTATTGAACATTCTATTCTCTAAAATAACAAACGATTTCTAACTCGGCGGAGAACAGGTAAACAGCTGTTACCGTGGAATCACACGTCCAGATAAACGGTAATAAAGTTGTAATAATAACTGGACGACGGTTTTTATCAATCGGAGCTGGTAATTCGAAACGGTTCGCGATAAATGAATTCAGTAACGGGCCAGACACACATCGATGCGAGTTGCAATATAGATATCGCTTTGTAGGTCAAATTCGTGTTCGAACGGTTCCGTACGAGTAATCGATTGTATCGCAACGTTCTCTATTTTCTGCAGTGCAGCGATAATATACGACAGTTATTCATGACTGCTGAATTATTTGAGAAGGTCATCAGCTTAAATCGCACGATGCGCGGCAACTCTGGCCGAACCGTACCTAAATCGACAGTTACTAATACCGGTTCATTAATATTCGATCGCGAAAACAATCGCCGACAAACAGTGAAAAAGGCTATAGGCACGCTTCTGTTTCTACGTTGCAATTTCCGATAGACCAACCTTCGCCGATTTGAATCACCGCGTAAAACTCTTATCGCGGACTTGTAAAAAGGGGAGAGATAAGCGAGAACAGGGAAAAGCCACTTGGAACGCGTCGGCGCCCCACAGAAACAATACCAATTTGTTCGCCGATCGATGTTTCGATTTGGATTCACGAAACGTTCTGAATTAAATGTCGATTTGATAGCGTTCATTTTCGTAGCACGTACCGGTACGGGAAGTCGAACGAGGCAACGCTTTGTAATATGGTGCCCTTCCATCGATATATTCAGGGCCCCGAATATTGTTCGTTCGAGTAGTATTCTCGTTTCTATCCCCGTTCGAGAACGCGCGAACCCCAAAAGACCGAAAGACAGACCGAACCCCGCGCACCGTTCATATTCCCAGCTGGCCAAGGCCCCTATTGGTTTTCTGTGGGAAATGCACGTGCTCGCTATTCACACACCGTAGCTGCGCTCTATAATACCGTTCTGCTACAAACACCGCTTGCCGGTGCAATCGCAGTCGGGGAACGCTTGGCGTTCGATCGTTTTCGTCTTGCCCGACGCATTCACAGTGAAAAAATCTCGACGATGCGGCGTCTTCAACCCACCCTCTATATTCCATAAATAGGACACGGCCGTCCAAATCTTTCCTCCACAAAAAATACTCTCGCCGAGCGTCCTCGTTCCATCCGAATCTCCGTATTCGTGTATTCGCACCCGTTCAATTTGTATATATCTTCGAATGTTTCTGACCGATGCATCGAGTCTTTATTTAGCTGAACCGAAGAACGTGTTCTGCTATTAGAATTCGATACTTGGCTACCGTACGGATGGATTTTTCCAACCTCGGAATAATACGTTCGTGAATCTTGCGCCATTATGCGTGAGTAAAGTCCCAATGGAAAAGTAAAATGGAATTTATAATACTATAAATGGAAGGAAGTCGAGTACTACACGGTAGACCGTAGTTATTATGCGGTAATTGAAGTTAGAACGCCCAATGTGATTCGAGGGAAAATTACACGGAAACGTGGAAGAAGTTACGGGCAGGGTGTACGATGACCATTGTTCTACGCGAACCTCGAAACTCGGGGAATCACGTAAAAGAGCGCAACGCGGCGTGTCTGCCGTGAGATCGCGTTACCACGTGGCACAGGGCCGAGTGCTGCGCGTGCTCGCCGATATTCGTAAAACTGAGCGGTGATGTATGTCGAAAGAAACAAAAGCATCGGCGCCCTTCAATTTAAAGCTTAAAGGGATCCACGGATCTGTCTAATTTAAATGGATAGCGTTCAATGGATTTCGCAGCGCGCTGGCTCCCTCTGTACGCAGTTTTCCGAAGCTCCTCAGCATTCAAATACCCGTAACTTCTTGTGTTCAATTATTTTTCAATACTTTAGCTATGTAACTATATCAATTTTCTTTATCTATTAGAAATTTTACTTCCTTACAAGTAAAATCGACTAAAATACAATTATGTTCTTCAAATATAGAGCATATTATTATTGAATAATTAAATGTTAAAGTATTGGTCGTTT